TTGTTTAACAAACTAACTCGATCAAAACTACTATACTTCCATGACAGTAACTAGAAGTGTTGTCCGTTTCAAGAAATTGACGCATTAGATTCCCTTGACAATTTCTCCTATACAAAAAGCCTTATCCTTTGTTTTAACCCCTTTTTACTTGCTAAGGTATGCATTTTTGGATATCACGTTTCTCGTATATACAATAAGATCTATCTACAGCGATATTCTGTGCAAGAATAATCTCAATATAGTCATAAAAAATTTGATCTTAACTTGAACGGTCATAGATAAGAATAAATTCGCATTATAATAAGTTATAAATTTTTAGGTCCTCCACATAGTAATAATTCTCGATATATTGCAAACAATATATGCTTTGTTACATTAAAAGTTTAAGATAAAATAAATATTTTTTTATCTAAAAGGTGATAACGGAATCATTTTTAAAGTGATTTATTACCGAATTCATAATATTTGTAACTTAAATCAATTTTTTTCTTTATTACATGAACAAAATGAAAAAAAAAATTAAAATATAAGGAAAAAATGTCAAATGAATATTTCTCAAACATCTATACTCGTAGATTGTAGATTTAAATATGGCTAAATATATTCAAATCATATTTTTTATAATCTTTACTCAATCTCACACTTGTATTTTTAACTTTTTTTAATTATATCTTACCAGTTAACACATCTTATCTCTTTTGATGTTTTCTGTCTAAAATTTCAGTCAAAATGGAGTAAAAATTTTATTTATCCCCTCTATTCTTGAATAAGCAAAAAAATAAAAAATAAAAATAAAATAACAAATACAAAACTATAATTAAATATTTGTCATTCGTAAAATCCTAACTTTCGTTTTAGATGACATTACGAAAGAGATTTGCTATTAATATAAAGTTAGGATAAAGATGTGAGGGAATAAGTTAAGAACTTTTAATGCAATGTATTACATATTTGAGTCATGCTATACTTACCAAATTTTTTACACCCCACTCACGTTAGGGGGTGGGACCACGGGCCGACATTTTTTAAAACACATGGGACCCGCACTTTTGTGAGGGGTTTCAATCAAATTTTTATGAGATTTACAACTTTATCAACCATATATTTCATTAATTTATATCAAAATTTGCCAAAAAAATATTTTTTTTTATCTAAACCAAAGTGAGCATGGATGTAGATCGAAAAATTTAAAAACATCATATGATAACCATAAGAAAATCAAGCACTTTTATGCAAAGAGACAAATTAAGCCCCCGTTTGGTGCACATTTTTGGAAGAATAATGTATTTTTACTGTTGATATGATGAGAATATGTGGTTAAAAA